AGAAAGAAAGAAAGAAAGAAAGAAAGAAAGAAAGAAAGAAAGAAAGAAAGAAAGAAAGAAAGAAAGAAAGAAAGAAAGAAAGAAAAGAAGAGAAAAGTCCCATTTCCCCACCAAGAAAATAGCATCCTTGACTGTGGTAGCTTGAGCTTCTTATCTCATCATTCCCCAGTGCCAAGTACACAGAAGGCACTTCTGATGTGTCTGTCTATGGGCCTGTGTGGGGACTAGGAAGACGCAGTGATAGAGAGGGATTCCTGTTAAGTCTTTCTTGGTTCTGAACTTGCATCCAGCTGCCCAGACTTCATGAGACCTGGCTAACTGGTCTGGGAATTGGTCCGCACGATGTCATTCATTTTAAGCCTTGGACACGTTTCCTGCAGCGTATTAGCTTGGATTCCCAGCTTCGCTGCTTCTGTTCCTGGTATTACTGCCCCTCCCTCCCTGATCACTCTGGGTTGGCACGTAAGAGAATATTCTTCCCTGTGACCAAGACTGGGGCTTTAGCAAATTAACATATGCTCCTTAAAAGGCACCCGAATGGCCCTTAAAGCCGAGTCACTGGTCAGAAGAGGGAACTTCCTTCATTAGAGCAGTGAGGTTGGTTCACAAGAGTATGCCCCGTCCCACCCTATTCTCATTCAAAGCCATGGCCCTGCTCAATCCTGCTGTCTGAGCCTTGAGATCACAGGTGGGCAGCCGGTCTGTGGGCAGCTGCAGAGGGAGATGGAGGCCCACACCCCACTAGCTAGACTGCACGTGGCTCGGCCTCATCATCTGGACATTTTCACACCTTATTTGTATACCTTATTTGGAATCCTTCTATATATTAAGGTCAACATCGCTTGGCTCCCCACTGTGTCCATGAAAGGAACAAACACACAGATATCTGTAAATATATCATTTATGTGCTATTATTGAATCTCATAAGTAGATGGAATGTTGGGGACGCATCTAGTTTGGCTGCTGAGTGGAAACCAAAGGTGGACTTCTTTAGAAAGATGAAGGCAGCTGATGGACCATCTCAGATGTGAATTCCTGCACAGATGGAGAGTCCCAGGATCCCCAGGAGGCCAACCTTTGCACAGGCTCCAGTGGACACCTCTTCTGGAAATGGGGAAAATGTAACAAAATGGTATTAAAAATGTGTTTCAATGCAGCAAGCCAATAGTTTCAAAGGAGCCGGAAGGGGAGGGCCTTGTCATTTCATAGCACCAAGATTTTAGCCATAGCTGTATGACTGCTGCTGCTGCTGCTACTAAATTAACTTACATAAGAATGTCAGCTCTGGAGTTTGCTCTGCTGCATCTTGGTGGATGCCGCACAGCTCTGCATTGACAGCATGCTCGCCTGCTTCTCTAAGTCCTTATGAATGCTGTCTTTCTGGGCAAATGGGCAGCACATGCTGACACCTTCTTCTTTACCTTCCACTACTCTGACCAATGTCCCTTGTTAAGTTCATTGTCCACTGTTTCTGGTCACTTTACCACAGTCAGTGCAAAATTCAGCAATGATCACAATGCCCTATGACACCTAGCTGCCATCCCCTGCCTGTGTGCTCACTCCATCCTCTCTTCCCAGGACCACTGTGCCAGATCCTGTGTGCTCATTCCATCCTCTCTTCCCTGGACCACTGTGCCAGATCCTGTGTGCTCACTCCATCCTCTCTTCCCTGGAACCACTATATCAGATCCTGTGTGCTCACTCCATCCTCTCTTCCCTGGACCACTGTGCCAGATCCTGGCAGCACTCCTAAACATCTCCAGAGAATACTGTTTAGAAGGTGCTCCAGGAATGCTTTTCTACATGGACGCATTTACATGTGAAAAATGAGGATCGCAGGGTTGAACCCTTCCCCTTCCCGACCCCATTCATCATTTTCACTCATTCCCTTTCCCACTGCACTGAACCCCTCAGAGGCAGGGTTTTGCCCATTTCTGTGCTCCCGACATCTCTAACAGTTCATTCACATAGTAGGAATTCAATTCCTAAAGAAACTGAACTGAGTCATGTTTTCACTTATGCA